ACTTTATTACCACTCTCCTCGTCATCAACAAAGACTTTGATCAGCGCTTAATCGTACCTTTTTTTATGTTTGCTCGACACACGATTGATGGATGTATTCTATACCTGATTGCGTAACAATAATCGGAAAAGCGGCGAATGAGCGATCAAGTACGACCGATCGATACTCGAAGGGTTTAGAATAGATCTGCCAATTAATGAGACCGCACCTAAGACAGAATATTATTTCCGTAAGACCAGAAATCCTGTGTCTGCCAGCAAACAGATGCTCCTACGTCAGTACGAATGAGATTCTCGCGAAATAATCATACGCGAAAAGGGGATGCGAGATAGAGAGAGAACGATGTCTCGCGCACCTGCTAGCTATTCTACGGAAACACAACCGGGGGTAACAATATTCCTCACTTCGTTCCATCAAATCGAGATCTTCGCAATGCGTTTCCCACCGAGACTCTCTTCAAAAGAGATCACGATGCGAGATTTCGGGATTTTCTTCTTCCGAAATTTCCAAAGGGACAATGTTAGCCCATTCTTCTTCGCTGATCTCGTATAACGTTCGATTTGGCGAGCGAACGAAAGAGAGAGAGAGAGAGAGAGAGAGAGAGAGAGAGAGAAACGATAAGTTCCAGCATCATAAATCTTATATGCCCAATATAGCGCGTGCATTAGCGGAAATGTACTCGCTCACGCACGTACGTGACGCGCAATACACCACAACGATAAATCGATAAACACATCTCGCGCGTCTGGTATGTTCTGTAATGTTTAAGAGTATGCATGTCCATGCGCCTGTATGTCTGTCTATGTACGCGTATGTGCGTACATATATTCTCGCGTCTCGCTCTCTATCACTTGCTTTCTTACTTCCTAATCTAAACCTTCTAAGACTCCCTCACGCTTTCTCTCGACTGTCGTTAGCATTAATTTTCTTAGTAATGTTGCTCCTAGTATTCAAGATCTTTAACTTTTGTCTATTTCTTTTTTGTCTTTACCTTAATTTATTAACTGTAGTTGTATAAATAGTTTATCATGCTTTCTATTGTATATAATTTAACTGTTTTTTTTAATACTTAATTGTATATAATGTAATTTATCTGCACTGTGCAGATTCTTAAAACTCTAATTGATAAACCATAGTTCCTCTGGTTCTATTTTTTTTTATCCTCTTGCTCTTTCTCTTTTCCTCTCTTTTTTTCTCGAATTTTTATTATTGTTTCTTTTTAATTTACTCCCTTCTTTTTTCTGATCCCTGATAAGATGATAGAAGTGGTTGATAGGGAAAAAGTAATTCGAAGGGATAGTAAGTGATCGGATGGTTTGATATGAGGGAGCCAATACGGAATTCGTTGACAAAAATTGGGGCATTTGTCGAATGGATTATTAGCATAGCCGCGAGATCAATAAGAACACGCGCATCGCTTTTCTTTCTACTAAAGAAAATGAGAAAAACATTATGAGAGGGAGAGAGAGAAGAGAGACGCGTGTTTCCACACCGTAGTAATCGATTGCACGAATGCCGCGGTCATTGGACCCGCCATGGTTATTTGCATTGAATCGCTATACGACAAATATGTAGACAAGATCGTGTGAAGTCACATTTACTCAATGAGAATTTAAATACAATCCGATCATTCGACATTTTTCTTTCATCGAAATGGAAACGTAGTTTTTTTCGATTCTAATGATAATAATAACTGTTTGAAAAGAAGAAAAAATATATTGATTTTTTAGATCATTGAATTGGAGTGTATCCCTACACACACACACACACACACACACACACAGATATATATATATATAATTCACATATTATATTTTGGAAACATTTTCTGGTAATTACTCTAATTTATCGTTAGCTTTTTTCTCATTGATTTATTTTCTCATTGCTCAAATAAAAACTTTTCAACCTTCATTTTTATCACAACACTTAAACAAAAAGATCTTTTGATTTAATATCACGCATATGCGAGATCAACTGTTTAATATAGAAATTAGCATATTTATGTCACGTAAGATATATATATAATAATTCCCTCAAATACTACCTCTGTTTAACCCGCACATATTTCTTTGGTCATTTTATATGCGTTTAAAAATTATATTATTGATTTTATGTATTATTAATTTTTTTTCTATTATTATAATTCCACATACACAAAATGACTATTTAAAATAAAATTTGCTGACGTGAACATTATTAGTAACAATTTCAAGGAATAATTAAACAAAAACTAAAAATATTTACGTAAAATATTTTAGTCTTTGCGATTTCTAAACGGACAGAGACGATTATTGAATTATGCTATAATTATATTTTAATTCTGTTGATTATATCGACAGAGAGAGAGAGAGAGAGAGAGAGAGAGAGAGAGAGAGAGAGAGCGAGATGCGAGTGTATAGACGCACTGATATGAATGTGTGTGTGTGTGTGTGTGTGAATTATACGAATAAAATAATATATAAGTGATTTTAAATATATAAGACATTAGCGAATAAAATATAAATGGCCATGCAAAGAAATAGCGCAAATCATTAAGATTGAGATAAATGTAAGTAACGTAAATAATTAAAATTATGACCGTTTACCAATTGTCATCAATTAATACGTGTAACACCAGTCGCTTTAGGCGTGGTGAAGATTTTTTGCAAACAATTCTTTCGGAAAATCTCTATGTGTGTCAGTTATCTACTTTATGTACACGATGTTCTCTAAGCAGTATAATGTACAATGACAGTTTTCAAATTAAGCTATCGTAATCCACGTGAGAATCGTAACAATCGCAACGATCTTTGTATCTAATTCCTACGATCATTTCGGTTATATCCGTGCAATCTGACTCTAATATGGTGCACAATACGCCACTCGCAAAGCGCTATACGACACAATGCGAATGCACTTGAAACCGATACATACATTGTACACACGTGTATATTATATATACATATATATATATATAACTCTGTTATTACTATTATTAATATCCTAAAACTATTAATTAGATACTCGTATTATTAATCAAAGTAGGGATCCAACCGATCGATTCTATCTGTTATTTCCAATACGCCGACGGCGGTGGTTCTTGCGTCGCGCGAGATCGTTGTTAAATCCATCTCGCTATCGTATGAAAACTTACAAAAAGGCAGACAGAGAGAGATCGCTCTGGATTTTCCCCTAGGAGAGGAAAAGAATTAATGCTGCTCCGCGTTTGCCGACTTCGAACCGTCCGTCTTAGTTACGAGTAACTAGGTGGCGGGACGGAAAAGTTTATTCTTCATAGAAGAATGGGAAGGGACGGACGATAGAGAGAGAGAGAGGGGGGGAGGGCAGGGGGAAGAGACGCAGAAACGCGACGGTGAACGGGCTGAGATCGTTTTTCCCGGGAACACAAATCTCGAGGCTCAGACTTCATTTGCCCATTTGCCCAATCTCCCTTTG